TCCCACCGGTGGGGGGAGGGGGACGATGGCAGACAACATGGTATATCATCTATTACTGCGCACTCTCTTCAATCTTTCCCAGTCTCTCGGGTAGAGTATATGGTGTGACGGGTGATGGGTGATGGGTGACGGGTCGGTATAATACTTCGTCGGACTTGTAAAGCAGACCGAGTGCGCCGGGATCCGCATAACAAGCAGCAGCACGTATGAGTACGGTGACAGATTGGACCCATGCACACACTGACATGTTTTTTTCTCCATTCTCTCCTCTTCTCATCCAGTATAGAAGAAGAAGAAAAGCTGTTTTGCTTCTTATTTTTCTCCCCCCTTCTTCCTTTCCAATATCAAGGGATTGGAATGTTCCTAGGTGCACGTCCCTTTTTCCGGCTTTTCTTCTTCTTTTTTCCCTTATGATAACGAGCATCGAGTGAAGATGATCGGCTAAGCCCACCGAGCCAGAGGATTCCAGGGGCAGAACAACGTCGGCAGGCCCCCATTAGCTCCATTTTCCTCTCCCCCAACAATGGTTCACGACTCGTCACTTTTCTTTTCTTTTTGCCATCGAGAGTGAGAAGGAGGGAGAGGAGGGGCGAGTGATGGGCGGTTGGGGTGAGCGGCATGGCAAAGCAGAGCGGTTGACAGTGTACCGCAGCAGCACCCCCGTTAGACTCAGCAGGGATGTTATACATGCATACATACGAGAAGAATGGATTGTTTTTTTTTCGCCTTGTCCAGAACCGTTATGTGTCATTGGGGGGGGGGGGGGGGGGGGGGGGTTGAGGTTTTTTGATGGAAAGTCCCGAATGGAGACAACAAGGGGGGGGGGGGGGGGAGAGGTAGGGAGGGACCTATTGATCCGTACGGTTCGTCATCTGGCCCTGCATGCAGTCCGATGGTTGTCTTTTTCCTTCTTAAACAAGAGGATTCTTGCTTCGGCCCGCCAAGATTTCATTTACAGAGATGGACATATATCCGATGGAGGGTGAGGGTAGCCAGTATATCTACAGTAGAGTGCAGCAGGTGTGATCTGATCCAAGGCAGATGCATAACGGTAGAAGAGAAAAAGGGGGGGGCGTGTGCATGTTGGGTGGCCAAGAGTCGCGAATCAAGCAAGCAGAAGCTTTCACATCTCCCAATCATGTCAGAGAGCGCAAGCCGTCTTTGTTTTCCTTCGTTTCTTTTCTTTTTTTTTCTTTCTTCTTCCTTTTTACCACTGTGATGGAAGCATCATGACTCGATGGCAAGAGGAGGAGACCATGGCGTTCAATGTTTGCCATGCCCCTCCCTCTTTTAAAGGCCGATCATGTTCTCATAGGGAGGAACACACATCATACACGCTTCGAGTCACACCCCACCATGTAACGGTTACTGCTGCTCGTATGTGCCTTCTTTCTTTTCTTTTCTCTTCTTTTCTTTGTTTTTTGTTTTTTTTTCGTTACTTATGACGGAAGATACGAGTCAAAGTCGGACGAAATGAGGACTACGATGTTCACACGAATGCCCCATTCAGAATATACCCAACACCGGGTCGATATCAGGTACATGTACGCGGACGAGCGTGGGACGATGCGACGGACGTAGGAGGGCAATATGCCACATGTACTGGGGAGTGTACAGTGCACGTTCAGTCGTACTGGAACTGCGCTCTCACATGAAGGGGGGAAGTCGAGAGATCCGAGTCGTAAGCTTATAACAGACTAAGCATTATTACCGAGCAGATACAGAAATGGGAATATTGAATAGGCCACGCAACACATGTAATATACTCCCTCCGTATTCCCAGCGGGGAGGCCGGCCGAGAAAATGTAGGGGACGGATCACTTTTTTTCCTGCTTCGGCGAAGCTTGCCACCGAGCGGCGGCACCGGGGGGCGTGTATATCCATCATCCACTCATGTGCTTGCAGACTACCTCGCCTTTCCGGTAGAGCAGGCAGTCTGGACATCTCTGAACCTCAGTACCATTCCTCCGTGAGATACGGCAGACGGCATGATGATCAACGCGTTGTCTCTTCACTTATACGTCCAGCTGTGGCTATGACCACGGTCTATCTACCGAGGAAATGATACGATACTGGTTTGTGATCTGTATACCACCAGTACCTGTAATACTGGATATTGTCACGGGGCTTGGACGAGTGTACGGGTATTGGTATCATGATACTTGCAGAGTAGATTGAACCGTGCTCAACAGTATGACAGGTCGTCCATCCCGGGATGGTCTACCGTGAAATGTCCAGACTGCCGAGCATGCTTATATATAGATAGATAGCATCGGTGAGCAAATGAAGGTGAAGCGATATTCGCTTATACAATATTATATATATATATATTATAGAGAGATATATCAACAACAATAACAACAACAACAGCAACGACAACATTGACAATAAATAATGACGACAGAGAAAAGACAAGGAAGGCGCATTCTTACGGCCAGAGCCGCTTGATCATATTGAAATTGTGATTTACAATCTCCCCAATGATTGTGTGCGTTGAAGCATACTTGGCTATGTCGAGTCTCGAACGCGCCGTGGTCGAGGGTAGGTGTAAGATGGCATGAATCTGACGGCCCCCCCCTTGTCAAACGTGTAGGATCTTCGTATTCTACATCTGTGCTGCTGTCCGCGAGAAATTCGTAATGTTCCGGTCCAGTATCAGCTGTGGATTCTGCTGTTTCCTGTCCGTACCCGGGCTTGTCGGTCACATAGCTAGACGCAGACATGTTGTCCGTCCCTTGATGAGGGTCTGCCACCAAGACCACGACCACGCAAGCCCGCCACGATATATATGAAACTCGAGGGCTCGGCGACCCGAGTGGCCTGACCAGACGGTCCGACCATGCAACTTGAGACGAAACACGTCCCACCTGGTTGCTGTACGATGTACAGCATGTCCACGCACACACAGACGCACCCGTTAGACACCGCCGGTTGCAGAACACCGAGGCCTGCTTCCAGTCGTGCTAGCTGCGCTGCCGAGAAGGGACTGGCCGTCCTCGAGGCGACGTCAAGGCGGCTTCCCCGGCGGCTTCCCCGGCGGTTTCCCTGGAGAGAGGCAGGATTGGTTCTCAGTCCAAGCTGAGGCTTCCTCCCCAGCGTGCGATGACTGCGTGGCCGTGTTCGCGCACAGCATCACTGGAGAATGAAGTATTTCGTCATCCTACGTATCAGCGGGCTTCCATTCCAGATGCACCGACCCGGACCGGATGCGATCCCCCGTAACCTCTCAACGCCGTGTTGGGGCGGGTGCCCCCCAACTTTCACGATAGCAGACACTCCTTGTCTGGCGCGTTGTGGATATTCGCAGGCCAGGCTACACCCAGGAACCGACCCTTCCGGCCGTCTCTCCTCTCCGGGGAGTGCTTGCTGCTCGTCGCGGAACTGCCAAAGCCGCGTGGCCAGAAGCGAAAAAGGAAAAATGGGCAGCTCCAATATTGGAAGAAGAGGCCCTCGCCGACGGATTCCTGGGTCTCACCTATACTGATGGGGGATTCCATAGATGCCGACGAGACCTACAAGAGTGAGATCGATTATGAGAGATGCGGACCGTACACTTCGTCGGAAGAGAGCCGTCACCGTCTATGGGCTATGCCAGAGGTTATCCTGCCAGACAGCATCTTGGCTTGTGAATTTGAGGAACAGCATTCCAGTTCCGCCCAGACGACACCTGGCGAGGTCGTGGCAGCTCCTGACAAGGCGAATAGACCCAAAGCTCTAGGCGGAGAGAGGCAAATGGATGAAGCTGACAGATCAGAGCACATGCTGCCCAATCCGGTGCTCGCTGTGGTACTGAGGGATGGCAGGCGAGCCTGCTTCGGGCAGAGAAAACAAGGTCTAGCTGCCCCCCCGGCTACGCGGGAGGGGGATAGCCAGGAACACCGACTATAGATTTCGATTCGAATATATAGCCGTGTACGCCCATCATGATAGGTCGAACGTCCAAGATGTGCTCCCAACATCTTGCGGGGAGGCGGCGAATACATGATTACTATACACACACGTGCATATGCTAGTCAGAGACATGGGCAATCTTGGACTGGGCGGGAACCAGGTGTTCATCGACGACATGCATGGCTGTGGACGGACACTCCATGAGACCTCTTCTGTAAGGTGTCCTCTCGTACGACGTGATCTCGTATGTAAAGCAGCCAACCATCTTGGCGTAGATCTCCGGGAAGGCTTGCGAGGGGATCCACACCTTGAGAACAGGAGACGAACCGACAGTAACGCTAGAGAAAAGAAGGCTTCCATGTTGCGCTCACCAAGACGGATATCTCTCTACAGAGGAGTGGCAGACGGTCATCATCCCCCTCACTCTGTTCTTTTTTGTTTCTTGGCAACAGAGTGCACATGGCCATTTTCCTTCTCCTGTTCAATACTTTCCAGCCGTGCAGTAGTTTCGGTTCATCTTGGACGGCATCCGTGCCAAGTCCTGTGTGGGGTGCATGCGCGTCCTCTGACCCAGATCATTCGTCCTCAGCAGGGAAGTGACAACTTTGCCGATTCCGGTGTTTCTCTTTACCTGCTTTCTCGGACAGGCAAGTGCAGAAATACTGTGTTCGTATGCATACCAGAAAGTAACATGAACACGGGGAAGAAAGATGACTGCGATGAAGTTGATGAAGGAGGTAGCGAGATCAAGACCCGTGGAAATAGAAAGGTGGGGCCCGTAGATGGAGCAGAGGCATCCGAAGCCACGTGACTGGACTCGGAGGAATCGGAGACAAACCCATCGGCATTCAAGACTTTTGAGGCTGGAGAAAGCGTTGAATCGTTTTGACGTGGTGAGTCTCGCGTCACAGACCGGTCAACATGTCTCCCGGATAAAGAGACTTTCTTAGGTCGGCATCCAAGACAGACAAGGGACACACACACACACACACACACACACACACACACACACACGAACGCGCTTCTACTTGGGAAAAGAAATCCGTCTGGTGGCTTACCCGTTCGTTTCGTTTCCCTTCCTTGCCCCTCACAAACACTCATCCCGTCCCATGGCCGATGCCACTACACCCAACAAGCGCTGCCACAACTGTCGACGGCAGCGACTCCGGTGTGACCGTTCCTACCCCCACTGTAACAAGTGCGTCCTCGCCGGCAAGGAGTGCCTAGGCTACGGCCAGCTATTTCGATGGACGGGCGCCATAGCATCGCGCGGCAAGCTGGCCGGTAAGACATCCATGGCTGCTGCTGAGCCGGCTGCTTCTGCTGCTGTCCACAAGCGGGATGCTGCCCCGCCTCCGTCACCGTCATCATCGTCCTCATCGTCGTCGTCAGCCTCTTCTCCTGCGTCGTCACCCGCCCCGCCGGCAGAGAAGAAGACGACTGCGGCTGGAAAGGTGCAGACTAATGGGAATGACTGGATCTTGCTCCCCGGGGGTGACAACGACAACAGCAGCTTGGCTGTCATCCGCACCGTCGACGGTAAAAACACAATCATCAATCCTGCGCCGCCTACGCCTTGGGTTCTTGCCGACCCGCTCGTTCAGGACTTGTCATATCCCTATCGCTACTACATGAGATACTGTGCGTCTCACTGATCTCTCATACATATACATATACATATATATATATATGTCTTACCTGTCCTCCCCCCCCCCCCCCCCCCCCTTCCCCACTGACCACTAACCTGTTGTTGTTTTTGTAGTCACCGAACGGGTGTGCAGGGATCTTGTAACGCACGACATTCCCGAGATCAACCCCTTTCGCAACCTCATCCCCTTGACGAGGGACAACCCGCTGGTGCAGCACATCATCGTCGCCGCCGCTGCGGCTCACAGGTCCAACGTCATCCAACTCGACCTCAGCCCCGCGGTGAGGCGGTCGATGATGCAGCTCCCCAGCACCGACGATTCGAGGCGCGCCCTGCGCGACTCCCTCGTGGCCAAGCAAAAAGCCCTCCGGCTGATGCGCGAGGCCGTGCAGAACATTGACTCTGTCGGCGTCGACGTCGTCCTCGCCGCCTCTCTGTTCTTCGTCAACGTCGAGCTCATCGAGTCTGGGAAGCACGGGTGGAAGGCCCATCTGGAAGGTGCCGGCAGAGTTATGAGTATGCTGGGACCTGCTGATGGGGCCATTAGTGAATTGCGCGACTACATGCTCTCAGACTGCTTCATGTAAGTAAAGTCAAGTTCCCGCCGCTGCTTTTGCTTTTGCAAGAGGGGAGGATGAAAAGGAAAGGAAAAGAGGAAAAGAAGAAGGAAGAAAGAAAAAAAACTTGATCCTGACTCTTTAATCAACCAGTTACTTCGTCATGGCGTCAGCCTTTACGCCGGCCACGTCAACGGTGCAGTGCTACTTTGAGTCGTCCCAGATCCCACTCATCATCGAGCGCGCCACGATAAACAGCTACCTCTGCGCGCCGCCCGAGATCCTGGCCATCATCTACGCGGCCGCGCAGCTCTCCAACGTCAAGACGACGGACGAGGAGATGGCCAGTCAGGTGGCGGCCGAGGGGCTGGAGCTCCTCAGCCGCACCGACGCCGTCGACGTCGCCTCGTGGGCTTCCAACGTCCTCAACGTGCCCTACCTCCGCGACAAGCCTCTCTCGAGCCGCATCAACGCCGGGCTGGCCCACCGCCTGGCCGCGAGCCTGTACATCGTGCAGGCCATCCAACCCGTGAGAGACGTTGTCGGCAGCAGCATGGCCGACGACCTGAGCGAGGCCCTGTACCAGCAGCTGTGCAGCATCCCCGCCGACGACCCCAACTTCAAGTCCACCAGCTGGCCCATCTTCATCTACGGCGGCGGCGCGAAGAGCGCCGAGAGGCGCGCCTGGGTCATGGACAGGCTGGACAAGCAGGTCCGTCTGGTGCCGTGGGGCTTCTTCTACACGGCCATGGAGACGCTGCAGATCATCTGGAAACTCGACGCGCCCGAGGATGACAAGAGGAGCTGGGTCGACACGCTCAAGGACCCGAGCCTGAACTTTCTCATGGTGTGAGTGGCGTGTGGCCCATCAGGAATTCTTCTGCAAGGAAACCTCTTGAGAGGGAAACGAAGACGACGACGGCTACGACAACGACAACAAGCGGACAAGAATGGTGGAAACGTCGAGCCGTCACTTTATGCCCGGAAAAAAAAGTGGGGGGGGGACAGCCTCGGCATCTATCTGCGCGCCGAGCCAAAACATGACTCCGGCATCTAGGTCTCGGCTGCGCCCCCGTGCGGACATGGCAAAGGACTACGCGTGCAGCCACCGAGACACTTTCTGCGCAGAGTCCCCTTCAGACCCTCACAGAAGGGACGTCGGCCAAAGCCAAAAGAGTCGTGGATGGGTGATGGTAACCTTCCATAGAGGCTAGCACGCCCGGAATAAGACCGAAACGAATCACCTGCTCGACAACGCGCCCACACGAGCACTCCGTCACTGATGGAAGGCGTGAGCAAAGCTGGTGGGTTCTCGGTATCCCGATGCATCGGCGAATCGAATCAGTTTCGAGAAGAACGTCGGTGCTTCACAAGGAGCATGCAGCCAACCTGCTCTGCCATCCCAGGCCGAGTATCAACAGGCAGGACGTTCGAGATGTCCCCAGAAAAGACGAGCCAGGGTGTTCTCTCGGGGAAACACGGAGGGAATTCGTTGAAAATGGTATGCATATCCGCGCTCCCTCGAGGTGACGAGGATATTGGTCGGATCGGAGTCACCGAGGCTTACGTATACCCAGGTCAGATGGATATCCTGTTACACAGCAGATAAAGATTTACACAGCAGATTTGTCGCACAAGGAGTTGGGAAATATATCACGTGTGGCCCTCCAGCCATTTATAAAGCTACTCAGTAGAATCTTTGTGATGCTTCCCCTCCCTTTTACGTCCAAGAGAGGGCTCTGCCTCGACGAACAAGTACATGATCAAAGAAGGTGAAGGAAAAGAAGAGGAAAGAAACAGGGCAAACCGACCAACCAACCTCCCCTTTTTTTTTTTTTTTGAGTCCCATGCATTGGAAAGATGAAGTCGATCCTGAAACACCCAATACCGAACTACGTCACATCACACCACTCTATCCAAGATGGCTTTTGTAAGTAAGATTCCACCCCGAATGATGTGGAGAGGGGGTGATGGCGGTGCAATAACTTACAGTGCACAGAAATGTACAGATCACTGACATCTTTTCTCTCTCCCCCCGCCCCCTTTTTTTTTCTCTTTCTTCTTCCAACAAGGAGTTCAAGGGGTTCAACACTCCCAAGTTTGAAATAGCCTACACGGTCATCCAGCGTAGCAGCGTTCTCCTACCGACCAGGGTAAAGGTCCTACGTGACGCCAAGAGCCAACTGGCTCCGAGTCAGGAGAGCGAGGCAGGTGGCCCGGCACCGTAAGTCGACGGATAAAGTGAACATGGAGACGGTTCCGGAGACGGAGACGGAACGGCAGGATTGACGTTGTCGACTACTGGATCGGGAAAGTCATGGCCGTGTAGAGGGTTCGACGGTGCGTTGACATGGGATAACCATCGTGTCGAGCGGGCGGATGCATGGTCGTGGTAGGTGTCGGGAGGAGAAGGAGGAGGAAACCGAAGAAGGAGCACGTCAAGTTTCCGAGCCTTGTCGTGGGATTTCATCGTCGCACCCATGAGGAGGATGAGGACTCGGTGATGGACGAGGGTACGCATCTCTTTCCTGAACGGCGGGTTGTGACGGTCAGCCTGTCGGCCTGGATCCTGAGGCCTTTGAGACCCCACGTAAGCTGGAAATCTTCTTCTACTTTCCTACCCCTGACTTTCTAACTCGATTCCCATCATCTACAAAACCCGTCGTCCCTTCCCACCCTTCCTCGAACCGCTACATTCTACTTTCCCTCTATTCTATACAACTTCCTTCTACTCTCCTAGTTTCTACGTTCTCCTACCTACTTTCTGCCCCACCCCTTTACTCCTGTGACACTTCCTCATAACCACCCCCCCCCCCCCCCC